TATTTAATTAATAGTCATAGATTAATAATAATAATAATAATAATAATAAGAAATAATTTTTAGGTCTAGGCTAACAAGGTCGAGGCTTAACATCACCGCCTCCACATACCTTACACGTTTTAGAACATTGACCACAAGGTTCGATCATAGTGGGTGAGTCAGCGACCCTTAATGACTTACCATAGCAGCCCGCCAGACCACCCATTTCTATATATTTACGAAATTCTACCAGAATTGAATCACCTTCTGTGTGTATTATCATGCTTTTGCACCTTTGATGGCTTACCAGATGTCCTTTTGTATCATTTACCTTCATTGTGCCTTTTTGATGAGCCATTACTTCGAGAAAAGACTTCCAAAGGTCCTGAGGAACTTTCGAATTCAACAATATTGGTAATAATTGCATGGACCGCGACATCACCTTTGGGTAATAAAACAGCCTTCCCCTCCACAACTGCTGTCTGCCCACAATGTGGATCCTCGATGCTTTATCTCTTAGTTTCTGAAATATGGTATCCTTATCTTCCTTAAAGCATTCTGTTGAAACCTGCATATGCACACTATCATGATATCAGTTGAAAGTAACAAAGGCTGCAACAAAATAAAACCGCAATATTCATGCTGCAAAACCAATTAGTTCTTAACCGGCACTTGTTACAAGGCACAGAACCACAAGCACAGCTGCAAGTTCAAGAGACAATGAATTCCATTCCATAATAGAAACACGACTATTAAAAACATAAAAATATTATTTACCACAAGGATCTGAAGAAAGGTACATTCTCACCTCAAAATCAACTGGAATCTTGAGTTCAGTGAATGACACTCATAACCGGCGCTGAAGTTCAGTTTCAACTGAATATCCAAAGGTGTTACGGTCCTCACTGTCCTCCTGATAAGTAATAGAATTAGAATATAAATTAGTAAAACAAACATAAATAAGTTTGCGATTTCTACCTACTTTCTGCTACTTCCACAAGGAATTTTAGACTACTTGAATAAGTAATCTCTTACGGGGAAGCACAGTTGGAATTCAGATTTATAACAAAATTCATCAAATGCAAAATCTATATATCATCTTAGCTTCTATCAAAACTTCTTAGCAGTGTACATATGGACAGGATAAAAATGAATTCGTAACATAGAAGTCCAATAGAACCTCTATATTGAATCACCTCGACTACAAGCTTAAGCTATTAGAGAGATTAATATTGTCTTCAATGCAACCCCTCATGTGTAGGCCAAATTAATTTTACACAAAGGGCATAACATATAAGAATACAAATGGATGGCAGCAAGACTAGAACCATATTGTTGTTAGCCGATATTATCTTAAACCACCTAATCTAAAAGCTTAAACTGTCTGGTAAAAGTATTTATTTAGTTAAATTTTAGTTTTTAACACTCTACAACGAGTTGACGCTATTTTGAAACAATTACAAACTCCTAGTTCAGACAATATTTGTAATTTATACTGATATATTTTTGCAATTCAACTGGGAAGAAAGATTTCAGCTGGCAAAGTTCATTCAACATCACATAGAAGTGCGATATACCTTTTTAGATCAAGCGGTTGCTTATCTAGAACTGCTGCCATGTTTACACTCTCAGAGAAGGAGACCTAAATACAGAGTGTAGCAGAAAGTTCACTGATAACCCCAAAAAATAACAAGGACATCTTAACATATAAAATTCATGATAATAGATAAAAAAATATAACATTTGATCCAAGAAAGAATCTAAAATTCTAAACTCCAAGTAAGTGGCCTCAAATAAACCTAGAACTATTTAAAACACCAGTAGATAGACTGATGGACAACAATGATTGATTTGAATTTAGTATCGATACATATTGTGCTCGCTTTAAAAGCAAAAAAGATCCAACTCCAAAAATCACAATAATTCATTTTTTATTTAACAATCCCTATTAGTTCTCGTGCGACCATTAAAAAATTAATGGTTTGCATAGTGTAAGTGCAAATGAGTGCTCAGGGTATTACCAGAGAGACGTCGGGTACACAAATATGGAAAGCCTTTGGGGAGACTACACGAGGATTTTGGGCATAGGTTTTAGAATTGAAGTCCAGATGGATTTGGTCTTTGTGCATAAAGTCAATCGTGGTCAAAGAAAGGAAATTTATTTGTGGATGCAATTGGATTGGCCAAACATGTAAATCATGTTCGTACAATCATCTTTGTTTTGGTGAAAATTGTTGGTTTATGACTTTTGTGGTGTGCAATCAAATCTTTGTTTCTCTCATTCGTTCCCACACGTATTTTTCCATCTTTTTTTCTACCCTGAGATTTCAGTTTACATATTTTTCCATCTGCAAGAGAAGACAGAGAGAACTGAGAAGCATCATTAGTACACGTACAAGAATAATATTGAGAACTCGAATGTCATACGAAGATATTGGATAAATATATACAACGAAAGATTAGAGAATGATTAAAAGGAGTAATCAAGGAATGTTACCTAGACTTAAATCGTGAGTTAAAATAATCTAAAAAGATCAATTCTACCCTGAGATTTCAGTTTACATATTTTTCCATCTGCAAGAGAAGACAGAGAGAACTGAGAAGCATCATTAGTACACGTACAAGTATAATATTGAGAACTTGAATGTCGTACAAAGATATTGGATAAATATATACGACGAATGATTAGAGAATGATTAAAAGGAGTAATCAAGGAATGTTACCTAGACTTAAACCATGAGTTAAAATAATCTAAAAAGATCAATTCTAACAAAAGGAGGGATCGTAAATTGAGCATATTCATGACTCATGTAATCACCTGTTTGAGGCAATGTTAATGAGCAACTCCATATAGAAGCAGAGAAACCATAAGAGTTGATATAAAAGCCAAGAATCTACAAGGTTAAAAAAATTGAAATGACGCTAGGTCAAAAATTGCATAGAAAGGGCATTTGTGACAATAAGGGGATTTTCTCATTAGCGTGTGCAGGGTGATTGCTGTTTCTCTAATGTACGCTTGGCCGGGAGGATTAAATAATAATAGACGGTAGACAGTGTTAAGAAAAGTAAGATAAATCTTGTTTTATTATAATTTTAGTTATATCCAATACTGTATACCAAACAAACACTTGTCGCAAGCAGAAATCCAATTTTACTTGTATACAGGGACGGACGTAGGGGGTGGCCTGGGGTCACGTGACCCCCCAACTTTGCTCTTTTTTTTCACCATTAAATTTTCTATGTTTTTGTTTCGATTTTCGAAGTTATTATGGGATGCTAAATGAAATCGAAATATTACATTCTTAATACCATATTGAAGTGCTCACGGTCTAGTTTTCTACGTTATTAATGGCGTAGGAAACGATCAATCGTAGCAAATGTTACGACTTGTCAAAGTAGATCATTCAAAATTAGTATTTCGAAAATTTCGATAACATGCTAACTTTAAAAATTATCCAACGATCGTACGCTAATCGAATCTACAAATTGTTTATGCCATCTCAAAACTTATTTCGAGAATTACATTATAAGCATATCGAATAGTCCAAATAAATATCGAAAATAATTAAAGATGTGTTAAATGTGAGTATTAAAGAAACGCGTTTAACTCGCATTTTCTTTAAAAAAATCAATTATTTCATTAACCTTTATTATTTTTGAAATACAAAGTTCTCAATGTAATTTTCATCATTTTATTAGGAAATTTTATATGGAATATGACACAAAAAATTATCGAAATTTTACATCCGAAAAAATCATATCCCATGTAAATTTTCAAATGCAAAATTACACGAGGTACGATTTTTTTGGACGTAAATTTTTTATTGTAAAATTTTTCCCAACTTCTTCGCAAGTTCGATGTGCCCCCATAACTTTGAACTTTTGCGTCCGCCCCTGCTTGTATAAAGTCTTTGATGGATTTCTGGATAAGTTGGCTAGGGCAGTGAGCTGCTATATTTTCTTTAATGTACACCTTATCTAAATTTTTTATTACTAAATAACATTTAGCTTATCAGTCCAAAAAACAAAAGGAAGAAATATTTTCTTGGATTATAATAAACTCGGTAAGGAACACAAACGCTTATCAGCATATCACTCAAAAACAATACCTTGCCTAATGGTCCATGGACCACCAGACTCACTTTCTTGTCTTTTGGGGTTTTCTGTAAAATTAGAATATATACCTTAAATCGTGTATTTAATATTTATTCATTTATGTCCTGGCGCCACAGGGTAAGAGGAAACCCATATATACTAGGAAGAATTACCAATATACCTGAAGATTCACAATTACAATCTCACCCCGCCACATAGACACTTTAGAGGCAAATTACATGCAATAGTAATTTAGTAATCTACAAACTGCACAGAGTAAAGGCACTTACAATGTTGAATCAAATATGAAGCAGAGAAGATTTTAAATATTCAAGTCCAAAAAACTTTTCCTCCAAGAAATTCAAGACAGAAGATTGATTTTCAGGTCCACTATAAGAAAATTGCAGCAATTAATGGAAACAATATAGGCATTACAAGTTACGTTTAACATTCCATCGAACTTCTGATATATGTTAAGTTCAAATTTATAGGAAACTAGACATAAATTACAAAATAACAGCACTGGGTGAGTGTGAAAACCCATAATTGGAACACAAATACTAATTATAAGTTGCAAATCCCAAACATATCATAATTTTGGAAAGTGAGAAGGTGTTATGTTTTTATGATATATTATTTAGAGCATGATTAACTGTACTTAAAGTTACTTTTTTAAGGGCGTGAGCTAAGAATTACTTTCGAGAACATAAGTTTTGTTATCGGAAAAAGGAAACTGTGAAAATCATGTCTGGCAAAATAAGTAAAATAAAAGTAAGTTTGATTTACTTTTAAGCAAAATCAAACATGACGAGGGAAAATAAACTAGTAAGTGAATCTCTTAGAAAAAGAATGAAGTGTCAAATAAAAGGAGATGTTAAGGATAAGTATATCAGAGTGATTACCTTGTTCCTAAACATAGTACAACATCAGCCATTTTGCAATGTCTCTCTGCTGGATCCATCTACTTTGGGCAAAGCATCCTGAGAGGGAGAATCAACAATAAGGTAATAGACCTTGGTCTGTCGGCCAGGCCAATAGCCAATGGTAAACCACCAGCTCAAGTACTCAAAATTTTTAATTTTTCCGTCTAACTTGGAACATCTATTGGTCATCTACTTTTTGGATCACAACACTGAAGAATATATAGAACTCCGTTACGTGCTATAGTTACCAAATTCACCATTCATGGACTTGTGATCTAGAGATGGTGAAGAGTGAAGAAATCTTACTGGTTGTTGAAGTAGGCGAATCATATCGCATTATTGCTTTGGGGAAAGATAAACACACTCATAGATAAAGGTGTCAAAATGCACTGTGGTGAAGCCCACCACGTGAAAGGCCTGTTGCAGGCACACCCCAAAACAAAATGGAAGGGGTCAAGCCATGATACGCTGTAGGGGCCCGTGGCCCTGCATTGGCCATCCCAAAATCGGTTAGTGCCCCGGGCCAACCATGTTGACGCCTCTACTCATATTATTTTAAAGAGCATATCAACTTACTAAAGAATGAAATGTCTTTTGCATCCATATTATCCAAGGTGTGAACTCAGATACTTGCAAGCATCAAAATTTTGAAGCAGAACTTACTGGAGATTTAAAGTTCCTTTTCAGAAAACATTTTTTTGCTCAATAGAAGAACTTTTCTTAGTTGCCTCTTTTGGAAGAACCATCAAGCAGGGTTGTCAATCAGCGAGGAATCAGGAATTATTTGTTTGTGCTTTGAGATTAATAAAAATTAGAAACTTTTCCACTGAAAAATTAGTACCTCCCAATCAAGAACTGTGTCCCTAAGTTTTGAGCTGCAGCCTGCCTTTGAACAATTCCGTGAGGTATCCTTCAGTCCAATAGTCTCAACTTCAAAATCCCCCTAAAACCATCACAGGAAAATATAGCATTTTAATGTGTGTGTGGGTGGGGGGGAGGAGAGAGAGAGATATGCTTTTCAAATTAGAGAAATGGATATAAAGGCTGAATGCAATGAAATGGCATAGTACATAACCCTTACTCCGTTCCGCAGGATGGACATAGTCCCATGAAGTTCAGAAAGTTTCTCTCTTGATATTCTGGAACATAGATCGAGGGCATCAATATTCTAGCATTTTCAGACCAGTGGATACAAACTAGCATAGTCAAAACATAAGCAAGACAAATGAAAAATTATTCTAGAACTTTAAATGCTAAGCACCCAGAAAAGCTCAAAATAGTTTTTGCAATAAATTATTTGCACAAAATAATTGTTATTAATAATATCTCAACGTGATATTTTTATTGTGAAGTTTGTGCAGAGCATGTTAATATTAGCATCCTTAAGAAAAGGTGATGTGTGAAGAAGAAATGAAGTTCATTCAATAAATTTGAATACAGTAATCTTCAGTAATATACAATCACAAATTAAGCCAATCAAACAGTAATTTTCTACCTGGCTTATAACAAACTTCAGGATTCCAGCCTTCTCTAATCCAACCAGTGCCATATGATTTATGCTTGGCATGGCACGATGGAAAGATAGAGACGCTTCTAGCAAGGCTTTGCCTTGGCGCTGCAAATGAGAGAAATTGGACCGCATGATCAGTGCTCTCTTTTATAAATATATAGACAGCAATAAAGAATGGTGCCTTGAAATTTCTTGAAAACATTTGTATGTACAAATTCACTCCCACAAAAATGCAACAGAAACCCAGCTGAAATACTATTAATCCGTTCCTGCTTTTAGTAATGAAATACATGTCCCATCTTCTCTTTATTTGTTCATCATTGAATCTCCCAATAGCTTTCCTTCTGAAGAGAGAACCTTCCTGTGGTTGGTCACGTGAATGACCTTGTACAAGTTTACTCTTTCCATTGATATAACCTTTTCAAAAATATAGACCTTAAAATAATGGAAGTTCACAAAACCAATAGCCGGAACTCCAAGATCGTTGATATGATGGTTTCGGGAAAGGTGAACTTTGAAATAGAATTCCAAGAAAACAAGTTTTTTTTTTCAGTGGGAAATGGTTAGTAATTCTTCGCTTTCTTATACACACGTCTTAGCTGGTTCAAGTGAAAAAAAAGTTGCTTATTATAAAAGTAACTCTTATCCTGCTAAGATAAATCACCTCAGTTTGATCCACAAAATAGTTATGTATTATAAAGCTTACTTACTTTTTTATGAGAGAACTTACAAGTAAACTTTTTAAGCTTAGCCAAACATGCTCATATTATCAGTAGTAAAAACCACCATAGCCAGGTGCTCAGCATTTTCGAGAATTCACAGAACGGATTAAAGCCTGTAAAAATTGGTTCTCAACAAGCACAGGGAGCTCTGAATTGAGAATTTTTACAATCTTCACCTAAAGTGTCAAAATGCCCTTGGGCCCGCAAAAGTCGGGTATGCCACAAGAAGTAGATATTCCTGCCCCTGTAAATACCACTAAGTGCGTACTCTGCATGAAGGAACAGGGGGTTTCAAATGGCAGAAAATTAAAAGGAAGACTATAAAACAAGTATGTGGTCAGACCTTATTAATAATCGTGCTGAGCCTTTCAATCTGCAATTTTAAGACATAAAAGTCAATGCTGTGAGCACTCAAAATAGAATATCAAACATTATTTCTTGAATCATATTCAATGGGAATGAAAGGACTTATTTGTCAAAAGATAAACATGAGACATCAGAAGTTGTTGATAGATGAGGGATATATAAGGTCTGAATCAACTTGAGATTAGTAGCTATGGCAATACTCTGTACCTGTCAACATTCTTTGACTGAAAATTGTTTTGTCATAAATAATTAAATATAAATTTCTTAGGACTGGAAAAAAAAACATTTGTTGACAAACTGGATTGTAGAGAAAAATGATCTAGTCTCTAGAATGTTACCAAGGATCGCTATCCTTACAACCCTACAAAATTATAAGGCTTTTAATGTCAGCAGTCATTTCTTTCGTGGCCATCACTTCACCCTCCAGCATAATTTCCACATATCTCTTTACGTTGTATAGGTACTACTATGATAAGAATAAGGTGCATCAGGTTTTAAACACAAGGTTTGAAGAACCAGATTATGTGCATTCAATAGAAAAATAATAAGATTATAAAATCGAGAATACCATTCCCCTGGGTATCATGAATGCCAGGCCCCTTTCCGAATCCCACAAATTGCTCTAAGAAAAGCACAATCAGTCATGCTTTCAGTTTACATCACCAGCCCATGTCATGATCAGCCAAATCCTTCCATAACCATTAATCATTATTCCAATCAAATTTATAACATTCGACAGCCACTAAACAGGTAACTGATCAATTAAAGATGATTGGGGTTCAAGCGCATTTGATTAATGCACCAGAAATGCTTTAAGACATCAAATTCGACCTAAAAATAGCTCAGAACGTAAAATCCAATGATTTCCACAGCCAAATGCAAATACGACCTCGTTAAGGAACTACACAGAACAGTTTAAAATCCCCAAACAGGTTATCCAAGTGCATAA